AAAACATAAATTCTGATCTCACTGGTGTTCTCATGACTTATTCTCCGTAGTTTTCTATTTGCAAGAATCTGGCGAGCACAATTTGACCCCATTATCTGTCTGATGTGATTTGTAGACTCAAAACTGGATTACTATTTTCCTTCCCCGGTGTTCAGCGTGAGCAGTGTTTCAACATGCTCATTCCCAGCTAAGGTGTGGGAAAGAATGGTATTAGTGTGTTCTGGCTCAGTTTTCGTTCGTTTCCATGACAACATGTGCTCAGCACAAAATTGGTAACCCTGGCGCAACTATAGACCGTTTTTCCTCTCATTTCGCATTTCACATGTGCTTTGTTCTACTGCGACGTGCTCCCGAAAATGCAATTTTCCTATAAAAAACGACTTTTTTGATCTATCATTAAAAATGTTTACTTTTTCAGATTATCAAGATGGAACCATAAAAAATGAAAATTTTCAAAAATCCGGCACTCGTTCGAGATAAAATCATGCAAAATATGGATTTTGCAGACGTGACGTTTCTCTCGGACTGTGAGGAGAGAATGACGTCCGGAAAAGTTCTTTGTACCGTAACTTAACGAATTCTTGACAAATCGATTGACCACGTCTGAGGATCTTCCTAAATTCTGAGCAATCTGACAGTTTGAAAAGTTTTGGGCATTTTTGGCTGTAATTTGACCTTTTTTGAAATCAGTTAGTGGTTTTTACGTAACATCGTTTGAACAGTCGAAGGAAACACAAAAAGTTTGAAATTTAAGAGTATGGTGCTGAAACATGGGAAAAAATGGGGGTGAACGTACCTTTATGTGGAACCGCAAAAGTCAAAAAATTGAAAAATAAAAATAAAAATATTGCCCATTCTCATTTAGAATTCGCTCTGGGTCCCAATAGTCTTTCATATCGTATTCTTTCGAACCCCCGGTCGATATTTTTTAGAAACTGCAAATTTGGGTTTTTCGCCATTTTTCATGGGTGAACGTATATTTATGTGGAGCAGTATAGCTCCGGCACATACCTGGCGCTTCTCAGAAACGGGTGGGTACGCTTGAATGTTGAGAGATTGATCCTAAAATTTGTTGTAAATTTATATTTTTCAAGGAACGTAGACTTTTATATTGGTTCTCTTTTACTTCCAATAGGAACCATACTTCAAAATCAGGGCCCGGCCCGGCTCGGCGGGCCCGGGTTTTCCAAATTTGAAAATTTTTTTGAAATTTCAGACATTTTTTAAAATTTTTTTTTGTAAAAAAAACTATTTTTTATGGACACTTATCTTGAAAAGTTTTTTACTTGACAGAAAAGTCGTTCATTTTTTTAGTTGACCCCGAAATTTTTTTTTTGAAAAGACAGGAAAAATTTGTTCTTGAAAGCCCGGACCGGGCCGGGCCGGGCCCTGGAAATTCTGAAAAAAGCCCGACCCGGCCCGGCCCAGCTCGTTGCAAGTATGATAGGAACTTTGTTTTTGTCGTTACCTAGATAATCAGCAAATTCAAAAAAAATCTCACACGTCTGCAAAATCCATATTTTGCATGATTTTATCTCGAACGAGTGCCGGATTTTTGAAAATTTTCATTTTTTATGGTTCCATCTTGATAATCTGAAAAAGTAAACATTTTTAATGATAGATCAAAAAAGTCGTTTTTTATAGGAAAATTGCATTTTCGGGAGCACGTCGCAGTAGAACAAAGCACATGTGAAATGCGAAATGAGAGGAAAAACGGTCTATAGTTGCGCCAGGGTTACCAATTTGTGCTGAGCACATGTTGTCATGGAAACGAACGAAAACTGAGCCAGAACACACTAATACCATTCTTTCCCACACCTTAGCTGGGAATGAGCATGTTGAAACACTGCTCACGCTGAACACCGGGGAAGGAAAATAGTAATCCAGTTTTGAGTCTACAAATCACATCAGACAGATAATGGGGTCAAATTGTGCTCGCCAGATTCTTGCAAATAGAAAACTACGGAGAATAAGTCATGAGAACACCAGTGAGATCAGAATTTATGTTTTAGAAATTTTACACGGATATTAACTATATTTCTACATAGGATTCTCTAAATTTTAGTTATAAAGACATATTTCTTGGTTCCTGTGAGAGACATACAAAAGTTGTCAGCTGATAAATTCTTGGTCGTATAAAAATTAAAATTTCTAACGTTTTTTCAATTTTTGAATTTTTGAAGCAAAATAAAACATGAGCTCGAAAAACGCTAAGGCCTGAAAACCATTCTCAAACATTCTGACTGACAGTATACTGCTGAAGCCGTAAACTGGTATACCAGGATACCACCCAATACAGTATACATACATCATAAATGACAGGTCACTGTATACTGAGAGTATACCTTTAACCCTGTACTGGAAGGGAACCCACACTATGACCAGAAAACAAGACTATAACCGGATGTAACTGACAGCCGGATCTAACTAAATGTACCACGTTTTAATAGAAAAATAATGATAAAAACTGAAGAAGGAACGAAAAGAGATCCATCTCCATTGATGATGATTTTTCTTGTTTTTTTTAATATAAAAATTTCCCTGTCAGTGAGCAAATTTATTAACGGGTTCTCTACTTTTCTGGATTGAAAATTGATGTTTTTGTCATAGTCGCAAAAAGCCGGTAGACGAATATTCTTGGTCCGGCCCGCCTACCACTGTTGAAAAATTTCCAATGAAAAATTGGATAATTTTTTTGAATAAAAAAAGAAAAAAGGTTACATTTTTAAACAAAATTAACAAAATAGAAAGTAGTCAAAAATAGGTCGTTTTTGTAAATATTTTTGAAAAAATTTCAAAATTTTTGAAAAAAAAATCAAAAAAAATCAGCGTGTGTACAGACCCCGGCCCGGCCCGTCAAAATTCTCGACGGGCCGACCCAAGATTTTGCAACTATGGTTTTTGGAAAAACTTCCAATTTTGAAAAATCTGACAGTTTCAAAAACGCTAGAATATTTTATACAAGTTCATATGTTTTTACAACTTCATCCAATAAGACATAAGATCTACAGTATCTTGGTATGCTATCTATCAGTCACAGTATACCTTGTTTTTTGGTATTGTTAGGTGACCCTCCTACTTTTTTATGACATGACAGAATAAGCTCCGCCTACTTATCCATTTGGAGGTGTCGCCGAGTTATTTCCGGTTATTCATTCAATCACTCAGTCTTCTTCTCATTCACTGGTAGGTTGGATGATCCTGAATTCCTTCTACCGGACATCTATCTGATTGATTTTTTTCTACTATTCATTCTCTTCCATTCCCCTTTTAATTTTTCTTAACCAACTCTATATTTCAGAACAATGACCTCTTCATCTGGAATCCAAGCTACTCTTCATAATGCCGACCTTTGGAAGAAGTTCAACAGTCCAATGGAAATGATTGTGACTAGAAAAATCGGAAGAAAAATGTTCCCGATTCTGGAATATTCTGTTTCTGGATTGAATTCAACCGCAATGTATGAGATCTACTTACACATGGAGAGAATGGATGATCATAAGTGAGTTTTGGGTTTTTGAATAAGAGGGTTACTGTAGCATAATAATTTTCTGGAACGGGAAAACTATGATAACTCTAAACATAATTCGATAATTTGGAATTATCAGAATATTTGCACAAGTTTTTAGTTTTTATAGCTCTAGGTGTTGTAGTCTAATCAAATTCTTGGATTTGAAGAAATCAAACTTATAGCTTTCAACCTATTTCCAGATACCGTTACAGGAACAATGAATGGGAAAACTATGCGAGAGGAGACCCAATCACTCCAGTTCAAAAAATTAAACATCAAAGTGGAGCACAATCTGGAATGTTCTGGATGGACGGACCGATTTCATTTGAACACATTCGATTGACAACTAATTCGAAAGCAGAGAAAAAAGATCATATTTTTCTGCAAAGTTTGCACAAATGGCGTCCAGTTGTTACAGTTCGAAAATTGGAAAATGGAGATGAAAATCCGAATTTTGACGAGGAATTTAGAATTCAAAATGTGTGGTTCATTGCTGTTACTACTTATCAGGTAGGCTTAAAATTCAAATTTACGTATTTAATTTTCTATAATTTCAGAATCCAGCAATCAAGTGTCTGAAAGTGGAGAACAATAAGATGGCATCTGGTTTTCGTTCAACTGGAAATCATAAAAATAGTCTTCCGACACGTGGCACCAAACGGACTGCTTCTGAAACCTTTCCAACTCCTCCTTCAAGTACATCACCACCATCGAAAATGAATTCAAACGGACACTTTTCGAATGCTCACTATTCAAATCAAGAAAATTTTGATTTTTCAATGACGGGGAATTCCCATCAATATTGGATGAACCCAGATCAGAATACGTGGATTTACGGATACAATATGGAACAACAAATGGAACAACCAGTCATTAATCAATGGAATATGCAGAATTTCGGACATCCAACGAATTTGAATTATGAGCAATATGGAAATCCAAATAACACAATTGGTCCAGAATTTTACCACGGATTGAATAATTTTTAATTGCACATCTTTTCAATAAAATTGAATCAAATTCTAATAAGTTTTAATTCATCGGTATCAAAACATTTTTAGATTTTGGGATTGAAATTGAATAAAAACATTAAATACGTCTGAAATAATGAAATAGATTTTTTGAGAAGCTGAAGTGTTACTGACTGATCGAAATTGTTGATATTGTTGTTATTGGAGACAACATCACGGATGTCCTGAGTTGTTTCTGTAAATGATGGCTTCGCATTGTCTCATAGCGGTTTGGGCGTCATAAATATCCGCCAACAGAGCTACAATTTTTACAGTACTTTCTGAACTATAGATGAAACTAAAAATCACTAATTTATAACTTGATTTGTATCAGGCCGTCTTAAAAGTAATCCACAGCAAACTGAGGGTCAAAACACATCTTGATTTTTTCTGGGGATCGACCTCGTGGGGGACAAGTTGTCCGAACTTTGGAGCTCTACCGCTTTAATGTTCTATTTTCTGACACTCACTCAGCCATTTTCTGACACTTGATTAGGTGTTGTGATGAAATCATGATGATTGCCGTAGAAAATATTAGGTTGTTCGGAAAGTTCCTTCCATTTTTAACGGCAGATACATTCAATACAAAGAAGGCCAAAACGATGTCGGATAAATTGAAGGTGATAAGCATTGTAATCAATGACGACCTGTCACCAAATTGTGATTGCCCTCCTGTCAAAACTCCGGTGACAGCGAATTGAAAACCATTTCAGCCCATATTTGGTATCTTTTTTTGAGATGAATTTTTTTCATCAAGATGACCTTAGAAATGGCTGGATAGGGGGCAGTCGGAAAGTCCAAGGCTCGAGGTATACGGTGGATAAGACAGAATGGTTTAGCCATATCCAGTGAGATCGGTCTGGGTCTTCCTTTCCGCCTGTCTCAGATTGTAGTTTTGAAAAGAGAAAGATTTACATATGCTACATTTTGAGTTACGAGTAAAGGAAGATTCATCACAAAAAGATTTACAAGTAATATTGTTTGCTTTGTAATTTGTTGGGTATTTGAAATTGGCAATTTTTGATGTTCTAGTCTTGACAGATGAAAGCATGTACTTGATGTATCGAGAAATGTTACTGGTAAGTGGATTTTTTTTGAATTAGAAACATTTATAAATTTCTACAGTATGAAAGCATCGTTATTCACGTATTGATGTTTTCATCCGCTATATTGCATATTTCAATTTCAATGAGCATTAGAAGAAAATCTCATTTAAAATCAATTATAAATAATAAGCCAGACAGATTCATTTTTTTTTATCAAACTATTGGTTTGGCTGCGTTTAAAGTGGGGAGTTCGATGGAACTCAGCAAAGAAAACAAATTTTTGGATAATATTTTTCAGACAAGCCTACGCATGCACATTCATTATCAATTTGAAAGGGACCAGACAAAATTCAAACCCTACCAGACACAATAATTCAATGCCAGATCAAATTAGGTCTCAGGAATTGTTTCCTCTGGGAGAACGGAATGATGTACAACGAAGAAATAAAGAAAAGAGAAACTATATAATTAGTTTATTATAGAAATTATCGTCGTAGTTTTTTGAAGAAAAAATAAGTTTACAAACAAAATAACATTTTAACAACATCTCGGGTAGTCCAGGGAGAAATTGAATGGGAGAGCCATAATGTTTAAGTTATTATCCATCTTTTCTTGTTCTTTGCCATCCTGTTTTCTTCTTCGCCATCTCGGTCTTCCTGGCAAATCCAATTTCCGGGAATCCAACGATATTTCCAAGATAAGATTTAAAGGAGTCTGCAAAAAAAAATGATTAAGAATACATATTCAGTTGTAGGCTATTACCTTGTTTCCCGTTTCTCTGATTGAAATGACCATCCGGGTGCTCTTGATTAATGATCTGGTCATTGTGAGCTCAATGGATAATCCCCAACTTCTTTGAGAAAATATAAAAGATAG